AAAAAAAAAGAGGATAGGGAGAGCCATTCATCTTTCTAAAAAAAAAAAAATATATATATATATATATATATTACTTATTTTTAATTAACTTGGATAATTATCATGAAAGTAAAATTGAAAAAAACTGATATGCATAAATTGTAAAGTAAAAATATAACAAAGGTCAAATTGAAAAATGAAAAAAAAAGTCAAATTGAAAAATTCATTATTATTTATTGAATTCATGACAATTTATTGTATTTAGATTTATATATAAAAGTCATAAAAGATAAATAAAAAGAAATAAAAGAAGTAATTATTACATCAAATATATATATTAAAGTGTATGTTACACATACATGCACACACATATATATAGTATCAAATGATACCAGTATAACTTTTATTAATTATTATATTGTTCAATAACTTTTAATAAAATGATTATTTTTAAAACTTGCTACTAGATTGAAATTGATGTAATATATATTTTAAAATATACTAAAATAATAACATTTTGATTACCTTCAAATTATTGTTCAAATTTAATAAAATTTGACATAAACATACAAGGTAATACAAAGTTATAACTCAATGGTTGGGTCGACAAAATTTACATCAATTTTAAAGTTATTGAAAGATATAATAATTAATAAAAGTTACATCAGTGTCATTTGATCTTTTCTCATAAGCTATCAAATGATACTGATGTAACTTTCATCAACTATTACACTGTTTAATAACTTTCAAATAAATGTGAATTTTTCAAAACTTACACTAAGATTCAAAGTTCCTTACTCCTAGATCATATATACAAAAATTTATATTAATATAAGATGATTTGAATTGATCTAATATATTCATTTGAAATACACTAAAATATGAATATTTTGATTATCTTCAAATTGTTGTTCAGTTTTAACAAAATTTGATATAAACATATAAGGTGACATGGTTATAATTAAATGGTTGGATCCACAACATTCACATTGAATTAAAAGTTATTGAGCGGTGCCGTTAATAGTTACTAGAAGTTATATTGGTGTCATTTGAGCCTTTTTTGTATGTGTGAGTATATATATATATGTAATGTATTTTCAAGACATGTATTAAGTATTGTTTATCAGGTGGCATTAATTATCTCGTGACAAAAGTTTAGATGGGGTAAATCGTAGTCAATACACTTAGTGCTAGGACTGCTATGGTTAAATTGAAAGAGTTGTGCCCTTATTATTAATTATAGGTGGTAAACGTTTGATCCAACGATTGATATCAAAGTCAATGTTATGTGTTTTAAGTATGTATCTTAAATACATGTATTAAAGCATATATATATATATTATATTTATTAAATATTAATGGGGTTGAGACACTTCGTGTGTACACATTTTATTTTATTTAAATAGAAGGTAAAATATAAAATTTAATAAGAGAAAAGAATTTAAAACAAGAGAAGTGATGAATTATATACATATTATAGCGATTACAATAAAATAATATATATTGTATTCTCTTTTGTCTATTATTATAAATAATATAGAAGAGAAGAGACATTCTATACTTTTACATATTTAATTTATTTAAAAATAATTAAGAATAAAAAATTGCTAAAAAATATTGTGGTGATTTTATTTAGCTGAAGAAGATAATTATTCAATGTTACTTGTTATAAGAGAAGTTATTATAAATATTTTTTAAGATAATAATAAAATGTTGATTAATATTTATAAATAATAATTATACAAATTATAATTTTAAACCAAATTTAAAGTAAATAATAATAAAAATAAATAAATATAAACATTACTAATAACTTATAAAAATAAAATAATAATATTATAATTTTAAGAAATTTAAAGGCATAGTGTGTAACTCGATCGTGGATTGCAATGACAAATGATTTATCTCATTTTGCATCAAAATCATCAGCACAATGTCGATAAATTAGAGGAGTATTTATATAAATAGACGAGTATAAATCATCATCACCTTACACATGATTTTACTAGAATAGGTTTTTGACTCAACTTTTACAAATAGACGAGTATAATTTGCTTGTGAAATACTCAATATAATCATGTTCATAATCATAACTCTTGATAGATTTTATCTTAATTTTTTTCATAACTTTTAGTTGATCAATTTCTAACAGTCCCTGTACTTTTATATGGATGTTAAATTTTCATTGGGATATTTCAAGAAAACAAACATCAAATTATAGGCACAAAATAAAACATGTAATTAAAATAATTTTGCCCCAACTGAAAAGTTTATGTCAATCCCTTCCAAAATTTCGAGTCATGTGTTCTTTTAACAAGAAAACATTTATGTTGTGCAAAATTATTTCCTATGCATTAATTGTATATAACACCTTTCCCCAGTCAATTAATATGAATTTACTGTTGGTTTGACTTTTTAGTTATGTACATGTATTTTAGCATGCGCAAAGCACAAACTAATTGTTTGTTAAATGATTAAAATTTACAAAAAAAATTAATTATACATGCATTCTTTTTCACTTGATTTTCAAATATCTTTAATGTTTATAATTAATAACTTTAAATCTATTTAATTTTTATATCATTTATGCTTTAGAATGGGTATATATTCATTCTTTACGTTATGTTTTCTTTGAGGATTTGTAAAGGCCTGTTTGTGTCTCCGTTGGCGAACTTATTCCGTTTTATGTCACCGTTACCAATGAGAGAGTTTTTATACAGTTGACGAGAAATTAATATCTTTTCCATTGGGACATATTTTCAAAATAAATACTTAACAATTGTAAATGTTGTCTTGAAATTTGGCAATGACGGGTAAATGGTAACTAAACATTGCTAAAGCACAGAAATAAAAAAGGAAACGAGGTGTTAAATCAATATTTATTTCACATAATAACTCTTTATTGATCATTCTTATGATTATTACATCTTCCAAGTATAGTCACAATATTGAAAAAAGAAAACATTGGTTGAAAGGTCTCGAACATCTAAAGAGTCAAAAACACAAGTGAAAAACAAGTAAAGAAACATAATTAGCACAATTATATCTAGAGAATAAGCAACTGTAAAACATTTGAAATATGAGAAGACCAAAAAAGAATAATTACCAATGATGAAGTCACGGGAGTTGGTCAATCACAATTAGTAAACTAATGGTGGATGACATTGGTATATAAATTTCCGCAATTTTTAACACAATCGTCAACACACTGGTGAAAATCTGGAGGACTATATATATATTTTGAACATTTAAAGCCACATTTCAGCCTACATATCGCTTTATTTTTATCAGTTGTTGACTCAACTTGCACAAATGGACGAGAGTAATCAGCTTGTGCAATACTCAATATCATCATGGCTATAATCACGATTCCAACAAATTGTATCTCAATTTTTGCCATAACTCTTTCCTGATCGAATCCAAACTATCTCTAATTTTTGTTATATACGATAAATTCTCGTTGTGATGTTTCAACAAAATGAACATCAATTTATAGGGACACAATAAAACGTTTAATTAAAATAATCACAACCCCTCATAAAAACTTTCAATTAATTCCTTTTAAAATTTTGAGTCATATAGTCTTTTGGGTAGGAAAAAATTGGATATCACTACTAGAAAATTGCAAAATAGCGACCGAAATTAGTGACCAAAATTTATCAGTCGCTATTTAGTGACTGATTTAGTGACCAATTCTGAATAATAAAAATAACGACTGATTTAGCGACCAAAACAAGTCGTCGCTAGAAAATCGGTCGTTATTTTGGTCGCTAGCTACTAAATTGTAAAAAACGTTGCTACCAAATTAAATTCGGTCGCTAAATAAGAAAGTTTGATTTTTTTTAGCGACAAAATTAAATTCGGTCGATAAATATTAGTTAAAATTAGCAACGAAATTGAATTCGATCGCTATATATTAGTTAAAATTAGCGACGAAATTGAATTCGATCGCTAAATATTAGTTAAAAATAGCGACGGAATTGAATTTGGTCGGTAAATAAGAAATTTTGATTTTTTAGCGACGGAATTGAAATCGGTCGCTAAATATTTGTTAAAATTAGCGGCAGAATTGAATTCCGTTGTTAAATATTAGTTAAAAGTAGCGACAGAATTGAATTTGATTGCTAAATAAGAAATTTTGATTTTTTTAGCAACAAAATTCAATTCAGTCGCTAAATATTAGTTAAAATTAGCGATGAAATTCTATTCGGTCGCTAAATATAGTTAAAAATAGAGACAAAATTAAATTCAGTTGCTAAATATTAGTTAAAATTAGCGACAAAATTTAATTTAGTTGCTAAAGATTAGTTAAAATTAGCAACAGAATTGAATTTGGTCGCTAAATATTAGTTAAAATTAGTGACAGAATTCTATTCGGTCTCTAAATAAAACTTAAAAAAATTTATAAATTGCTTAAAAGTGATGATAATATTGTTGTTCAGTATCAATCCCATTTTTTTTAAGAGCAAGACATTAATTTATAATAAAAAAAATATTTATATGCATTCCTACATAATTAATACCAATAGTTATTTATGTAAAAAAATATTTAGAGGTTTTTTTTTTTACGATTGAATTTTTAGGCATTTTTTTAATTAGAGTATATGAATTTTTTTAAATTTTTTTATTTATTTTGATCCATATTTATAATATATATTTTTAACTTATGATAACTTTATTTTTAATTAAATTTTTATATTTAAATTTTATTGATAGAAGAGATGTGATATCTTAAGGAAAAAAAAAACTATAACATCCTCTCTCTTTCTAATAGGA